TTTTATATATTATAACTAATTTTTTAAAAATTTATAAATTAATAAAATATTAATTAAACTAAATACAATTTATATATGTAGTCTTAATATTTGTAGAGATAGCACCGGCACATCAAGGGGCAAGGAGGAATTTAACGGTTGGATAATTTTGAACATGCTTCCAGAGCCTAAATTCAATTGATTTTGGCTTTGGGCAGATAGGGAATGAAAAGTTTCCAACGGATAGGAGTTAGTTAGTTATCTTGTAATTTTAACTATAAAATAAAAATAATTCCTCAAAAAAAACTATAAAATAAAAATAATTAAATGGAGAATAGGCTTTAATATGAAGAGCTCATTTATATTTTATAATTTTTTTCCAATAGTAATTTTATTATTGCAAATATAAGAACACTTAATCCATTCATTTACCAAATGATAGTCTATTTTATTTATACATACTTATAATATTACATTTTATAATTTATGTTATACATTTTGTTACGATTTGTATACCATTATACTTTATTTTTTGAGGTAAAAAAATATTAATTCCTCGTAAGTTGCTAAATGGCAGTTACTACCGCCCAGTAATTAAATGAATCACATGATATAAGCTTACTCCTACCTTAGAGAATACTATTACTCTTCCTTCAAACATTTTAGATATTAAGATTACTAATTGAGTTAAAATTGATCTTAAATACTAATTATCTTGTAATTTATAATTAATTTGATAGAGTTACTGATTTATTTGAAGTTTTAATTTATTGATTACTTGATAAGTGCTTGAATTATACTTGCAAATCACACCTTATTCAAAATATATATATATATCGGGATTTCTTTTCACTCGTTAAAATATATAAGATGCATTCCTAAAATGTTGGATGGAGTATTAACATACTAAAATTAATTAGAGGTATCATTAAATTTCAATAAATTAATTATTAATATAATGGTAATAAAGGATAAGAAGAGTGAAAAATCAACAAACGCTAACTATATATTCATAGAGGAGTAGAGTGAATGGTGTTATTTACATTTTCGGAATTCGCTTCTCCAATCTATTGTCATTAGTCTTTTAAACTTCAGTTCAAAAAATCTACCGTCATTAGTCTATCTCTATCAATTCATATTTCTACCATACAACCAACCACTCCAACTTTTGACAACACTCCAAAAAAATCTAACTTCATGTGTTGTCAAGACTGCACATATTTTTAAAAGATTAGTCTTTCAATTTTGGTGTTCCCCACTATGGACCATTCATAGAGGCCACTAACTCTGAGCAGTTATTTTCAAAAACACATTCTCCCATGCAAGATCATGAATTGATTTTATTCTGTTCTCCCATGTGACTGAGAACGAATACTTCCAGGAAAGTGAGACCTCCGAATGAATTATTTTGTTGATCACGGGTGGCATTGATTTTTCTTTTCCTCTAGCTATTCCTACAGACATTGCTCTGATTTTACTTTACCTTTAGTGGAGTTATTTATTTTTAGTATTTATTGATTATTTATCTGTTAATTTTTTAATCTTATAATTATTTAATTAAATTTTATTAATTATACTAATTATCAATACTTGATCAAATAGTACAGTAACTTCCGCCTATTATCTTATTTTGGTGCCCGTCAATTAGTTGTTGAAATGCCCTATAAATATTTTAAGCCAAATCTGCACATAAAATTTCAGATTAGTTTTACTTAATCCTTTTGTTACTCCATTTATCCTCTCTTTGTTTTTTTTGAGGATGCCTCACTTACGATCCCCACGTTCCGACTTACTCGCTACAATCACTAGTTACATGTCCCAACTCCGTGACATCCCTTTTCTTATTTTTCAGGTACCATTAATATGTACCAATGACCCTCTTTAAAAAAAATTACACCTCATTTATCTGTCATTCTAATGTTCCCCGTGAACCATTCGTACATACCAACAACTCGTTCACCAAAAAAAAGAAAACAACCATACCGACAACTCTGAGGGGTCACCTCGGTAAAAGTTTTCTCCAGTGCAATTATGGTTATGAATTTGTTGCCCTCTGTTATAGCACGTGGCTGTGAACCAGCAAAACTCCAAATTCTGAGTAGGCCAGGCTGGGAAAGAAATGAATTGCATCAGAACGGAAATTCAATTCTGAATGCAAGACTTTTGCGGAGACAAATTGGTACGCCATCTGCAAGGGATGGGACCTCCGACACTGGCAGAGGTAGCAGCTCAGCTTTTACTTTTGCTCTTCGCTACCATCAATTGTTTGCTGTACATATACTTTTAAACCAAGTCTGGACAAAGAAGAATGATTTTTTTTTTTTTTTTTTTGAACATGGGACAAAGAAGAATGATTGGTTGAACTTTCTTTTGAAAAAAAATATTTGAAAAACTTGACTAAAAATCAGCTTCGCTTAACCTATAAAATTAAAATTTTTATATTAAAATTGAGATAAAATATAGTTAATTATAATAAAATTGTGAGTAATTACATCAATTTAATGTAAATAATTATATTGAAATTTTTTAAAGAAATTTTTTATTAAGATTTTTTTAGTAGGAAAGTAAAGTAATATAATCACTTTAATT